GATAAGAAGTAAATATGTTCTGCCCTAAGGAAACAAGTTGAAAGATTCTGGCGAGAACTGGTAAAAGCAGGGGCTGACGTGTTTACTTCAAGGGGCGAACTTGCAAAGTTGGTAGGAGTGCGAACTTTCGATGGGGTATAACCTCAATAAACCCACTTAATAGATAAAATTCTGAATTTTTTCTTGACGTCATTGCATGGTTCTCAATTTCACAGTTCCTAACAAACGTAAACACCGACTTAATTTCAAATGTCCCTAAGGGGAAAAAAGGGGGAAAATGCTGATCGTGTTCAAATGTTATCTTTGGCGAAAGTACACTATAACAATTAGCGCGATTTCACTTAATTTTAATGTCATCATCGGGTACCAGAGGAACTGAATCAGGAGGATTCAGAAGGGAAGTGATGTCCGCTGAGAGTTGCAATTCTCGGTAATTTTTCAAATTGTGAACTCAGCTAGGAGTCTTAAGAACCTCGATTGCTCTAGAATGGTCGGAAAGACACCAGCTGCTGGACCGACAAGTATACTCTTCTCAGCTTGCAATCACAAGATTTTATTTTTACCGGAAATAACTAAATCTCTGATCAGCTTTATTCATAGCTCTCAAAGACCAACTTTCCCCCTATGTAGTCGGACGTGTTTCTTCAATAATATTTCGTAGACGCTAATTCGAGTTTTTTCTCTTGGAAATGGCTTCACAGAATTTTCCTGAATTTTGTCTACATGAAATACAACTTATACACATGAAGACGAATAGTAATGATGGTAGATGTGGAATTGTTCAAATCAGTGTAAACGGTGTTGTTAGTAGAACATTAGGAAAAGATAAAATTTGTCAACTTGCTATCCCGAGAGTAACAGAAAACCGATAGGAGTCGAGTGGAAACATTTGTTGGCTTCTCTACTCGAATATGTAAAACTGTGTTCCGCCACCTAAATTTGACCGCAAATTATTTATGAATAATAAATGAGCTTTTAATCCTGATAAACAAATGTGCCTTGCTTTTTGAGATGCGAAAAAAAAGCGCTTAATACTTGAAAACACAGCTGGGGAAGAGAAAAAACATATTGGGGCACTTCATAGTGGAGAAGAGAATACCTCGTTTGGACGAACTAATGTTGGAAATAGAGAGGGACATTTACATTCCTGCTCACCAAGTACGTTTTAGTTGAATAACTAACATGAAGAATAAACACAGTGTTGAGTTAACCACTTTGATTTCTTTATCGTGCGAACATATATATTTTTCAGTCCTTGGGTCATCCTCAAGTTAGTTTTCGTTCCCCATCGCCTTCCCTCTCTAAAATTTGGTCGGTCAGGTATGAAAAGACAAATGGAGCCTCAGTTTTGGAAAAGGATGGATGTGCGCATCTTCTCTCCTGACCCAAGCGTTTTCAAAGAAACCTTGAAAATCTGCTTTTAAATAGAATGTGATTTTGGTTAACAACCGAAATCTTGTTGGTAAAACGGTGTATTCAGCCGAAATCTTGTTGGTAAAACGGTGTATTCAGCATTAATTTTTTTTAGTTTTCCACTGAAGAATGGTCGGTCGGGCAATGGGAAACGAAATTTTTTATTGGGATGGCCTAACAGATCGAAGGAGAGTCTGTGTGTCTAAAGTGAGCTTCTAACTCCTCGGTGATTAGGCAGGTCCAATGAAATATTCATCATTAGCAAAAGTCCAACCCATTAGTGTTTTCAAAGTCAAATTATTTCATGGAAGACAGATTTATTTAACGTTTGGTTTTTGTATGAAAAATAATTAGTTGTTTGCTGCGGAACAAAGCAGAGAGGAAATTTCAATTACCCCGAAACACCCTTTGGGTGATAATGAACAATATATGGCGTTTTCATTTCCTCGTCTACAAATCCCTGGCGGATAGAGCTTCTCACAGTTCAGTCAAAAATAATTAAAAAATGACAAATACTTCAATGAGATACGTCATCAGAGACAAAATTTTGCCGAATTAAAGGCAATGGACAAGAATCTTCTTTGATAAGCTAAGGGTTGAAATCGAGGACAGCTTTAATGGGCATGGAATTAACAGATGCGACGAAAAGTTTATTTCGCACTCCATTTTAAGGCTGGGAGACGGGTAATTACTCAATATACGATTGGCTAGTGAGTCACTACACGAGAAAATAAAACGTAACTACCGCTCATATGGCACTTGTTGTTATTTTAGCGAGGAGAGTGAAAACCAAATGAGGAACATAACGGGGAACGCTATGGTGGCAAACATCAGCAAAGTGAATGAATCGAGTTCAGCGAATGGCAGTTCACCCTCTAGTACTGAAGGCATTGCAATGTGCAGCGCTTTTGCGCTGATCTGTGTTTTGGTCGTCGTTGGAAACCTCGCCACCATTGTTCTCTTTACTGTTAACAAGAGACTTGGCAAAAAAAGTTTATATCTTGTCATTAATATGGCGTTTGCTGATTTCATGTACGGAGTTCTATCGGTTCCATTCTTCATTTACTTCGAACTCGGCGTGTACTTCTATCAGCTTTGGACAATGGGAAATTCAGACTTGCCCATTTTTTATTTTTACCTCGTGGCTGATCGTATTTTTTCGGCGGCTTCGTTATTATCAGTGACTTGCATATCCTATGAGAGATTTTACGCCATCTATCGACCATTTAAGCACCGATCTCTGACGGCGCGACACTACCAAATTGTTATTTTTTTCATTTGGGCATTAGCATTTCTTCACTCAGGATGTTCTCTCTTTTATTCAGGAAAGTTCTACATCTACTTTTGGATATCGATGGGAGTGGTCTCATCTTTTATCATAGTGGCTTGTTACGTCGCCATTTGGTTAAAGTTTCGTCAAGGAAGCGTCGCTACGCAACAACAAAACAGAGACGCACAAAATGTGCGTTTGACAAAGACTCTGCTGCTTGTTTCTATCACCACATTAATCTGTTGGCTCCCTTTAATTGTCGTGAGCGACTTACATTTACTTAATGTTGAAATATCGTGGAGATATTATGTATTTTCGGTCTTTTTAAATTATTGTAACTCGTTTATTAATGCAATTGTCTATGCACTGAAACTTCCAGAGTTTCGAGAGGGGATGGCCGTTTCATGCTGTGTCCATGCCAGTCTTGTCAGAAGACAAGAGGCGGGGAATCCTGCAAACTCTAACTCGAGAAATAATCAGGCAGCCTTCTCAATTACGCGGGTTATACACAAATAGAAGCATTTCACAAAGATTTTGGTACACTTAAGAGCCGAAGAGTGACAAAATCTAAATGGGTAGATCAGGTATGAAAACCACGCGCGGAAAGTAAGAAAAATTCTCTTAGGATGACCGTTCTCTAATGACCTGACGTTTTTACTTGATGGTAAAATAAAAAAAAAAAACTGATAAATTAAAAAAATTGGAAAGAATCTTCATTTTAAGATTATAGAAAGTTTTAATGTGTTCCCCCGCAGTTAAAAGGGAAGGATGACCACTTAGCCTAGATTATCAAATTAGTAAGGGAGAGAAGTTGTTTTCTCAATAAGTGACGCCTACGGGCGTATGAAAAAAAGCTTTACCTGTAAACTAGCTTCATGTACCAACATGCAAATGGCTGTAATTAAAATTTAGATGTGAATAATCTGCCGCACGGTGACAATAAAACTAGTATACTTGAAGTCAAAGAATCCATCCTTTCACGCTTATGCACCCCCCCTCCCCCCCAATTCCCGATGCATGCTTTGATCAGCAGGTTTCCTCTCTCCCACAAACAGTGATATGTGCATTCCCGGCAGGGGCGTAGCCAAGATTTTCCAAAGAGGGGCTACACTGTGTCAAACAGAGGGTACTCACCAGATTTCAATGTCGACCTCCACGCCGCGTTTTACTTATGGAACAAAAAAGGCTTACAGAAGGGGAGTCACGGGCGCCTCAGGACCCCACCGAACTATGCCCTCGGTCAGATGCATGATTTGATCAGCAGGTACCCTCTCTCCTCTATACAGTGATATGTAACGCTGCATCAGCGGGAAAGGCCCAAAAATTTTCTGTGGAACGAAAGGAGTTGGTTTACCCCTTGTCGACTGAGCAGAGCAAACAAAAGGAGCACAGCTACTAACATTGCCAATCATTTTTCCCAATTATGTACTTAAAATATTCTCGTTTTTGAATAGTTGGCCACTCTTCCAGGTGATCTTCAAATATAGGTGACCTCCTCTCAAGCTTTACTTTCTTGAAAGGTTTGGTTTTGTTTCACAAGAAAACAAATAGCGTCGACCACTTTTTGCCCCCGCAGGGTTTTTGGCCCCAGAGGACTCCCCGCGTAATATAGAGGAAGACTGGAGAAGAGAGAATGTGGGTATTTTCGGTAGATCATAACCAGAAAAAAATCTCGATTTGATCGCTTGCACGGCCGCAAGGTATCAACGTTTTTCCCGCAAATGGTCATGGGCTGCCAGTAAAAAGACACGCGCGCGAGGACTTTTAGGATCGGCGTCTTTGACACGAGATTTGTCCTAGTATAGAGGAAGACTGGAGAAGAGAGAATGTAGGCCCTCTTAAGGTATAATTTTGTGTCTAATAACTATATAATAATAAATTGTTCTTCAATGCTGTCTATAAATTGTTCTCCAATGCCACCCATAACATTCCAATGTTAAAACTCACCCAAGTCCCTACATTCTGCTTCTTCTTGATCGTGAAGAACAAACAAATCCTAAGTTAAACCACACAGCAAAAAAAAAAAAAACCCCAAGCACTTCGCAAAACTACATTTTGTACACTTGTAGTATTTTGAGATGCAAAATTACTAACACCAAAGTACTGAGCCGCAATTCCGTAACAGCATAACAGAAAAATCACACAACTGTAAACAACAAGCCCAACTCAAAAAAAAAAAAAAAAGAAAATGGTACTGTAGGGCGGGGGCAGCTCTAGTGAGAACTATAACTAGTATAAAATAGTGGGGACCCTCTACAAAGGCAACCAGACACCTCAATTTTTCGCGTGACTGTCAGGCCTGGTTGCTAAGCACTAACGGTGATCTGCGAACTTTGTTTTTGTCGCGAGTGTCTGTGCTAAACTAGAATTTTGACGCATTAGAGAAACGTTAAAGCTGAAGAAAGCGATGGAAAGCTCTTGCAGCTCGACTTCAAGCGAAGGTATGTTAATTTTTTTTGCCAGCATTTTTGTTAATGCCGTTTTTTTTTATTTTGTCGTGGGGCACAGTTCATATTTTAGTGAATTAGTCATATGACTACTTCTGTGTCGATAACAACGATGCAACATCCTCTCAGGTTTTATAATTTGCCGTTCTCTAGGTGATCGATTCCCTGGGTAAACTGAATTTTTTTTTACTTCCCTTAGGGTTATGCAGCTATACATAGCAGTTTTATTGACTCTTCTTCTTTGGTGCATGTGTGTTTACAATATTAGCAATGTTTAGCTCACTTATGAAACATTGTGTATTTAGGGTGCGATCATAGCTTGCCGTTTTAATGTTAAAGTATCAGCTAACAACACCAAATAAGTCATGTTTTATAGTTTTAATGCTCGATAGGCAGCATTTCTGAAAAAAAAAAAAAAACTTTGAGAAGTGCTCGATAGGCAGCAGCATGCGCATCATTTTTCGGTGAACCCGAGCCAACATCTGGCCAACATCTGATAATATTGTTCACTGTTTCACGGTTGGAGTATTTGTTACGCTTTTCTTTTGTATCGATTAACCACCTGCATTACTTATTTTTTTAAACAAGTCTCTGTGAACTATTAACACAGAAGAACAGAAGGATGAGGTGGGTGAAAGGAAAACGACTACGGACTCGTGATTCAGGTCATAAACCCAAAAACGCTCAAGACTTAATTGTGAGGAGGGAGGGGTGGGGGTTTACAAGAGAGTGGTTTATCCTAAGAAGCGAGTTACAGGTATTTTTTAAACGGTGTTGGCCAGTTTTTATGCGTTCTGTGAACAGTGTGCATTTCTTTGGTTGAAATGCCAACAATTTTATAATCAGAAAGAAACTACATGTAGTCAAAAGATTCATGTACTTGTACATGTTGGAAATGGTTTTATGGACAAGATTTGGTACCCAGACTCTGCTTGGAAGCTGGGGGTTATTGCAGCAACTCTGACAACAATGGTTGCTTTTTTATATTAAAGAACAATAGCTGCTGTGAGGGAGACTAAATCTTACACTTTGCCAAATAACTTTGCCTATTTTTTGACAAATAATTTGTTGTTTTGTCTATCAGGTAATGATCCTGGTTTAAGGAAATGCAGTGACTGTAAAAAGTCTTACAAATCCTGCGAATGCAAGGTAACCATCAGTGACAATTGTAAAAATTCATTTAAACTTAATTGTCTCAGTTACAGATTATGTTGGTATTTATAATATTTACATATATTTTGGAGCACTACTGATAGAATATTTGGGGTGCTGTTTCCTATGCTGTATTTTTTTTTTTTGTTTGCCAAGTTTTTTTTTTAATGAATAATTTTGAGGCCATCTGTTGACCCTTTAACTTCCAGAAGTGATTAACATGAAACTTCTCCTTATAACATCCTTACCTTATTCAGCAAACAGGTTATGAGAATATTCAAACTTATCAGGTATAAAATGCTATCTTGATCTAGCACCAAGTTCTCATAACTAATTTACAGGGAAATGTGCAACAGCTACAGGGGAGAATTAACAATTAGATCTTAGGAGTTAAGGGGTAAAGAACACATTCAACAACCTTGAATTGCCAGATTGTTCCTGATATGGAGATTATTGTGGTCATTATTAGAAAGGAATATATGGACTGAATGTGTATGAGAGATTACATTGTGTTTTTTCTGCCAACTTTGCTTGCCTTTACAAATTCATTAAATAATTATTCCATAAACCACACCAATGCCCACAAGGACAGCACCAAATAACTTCTCAACGTACATTTTGTGATGATTTATGGGAAGTCTTCTCAGTGATTGACATCCTTCTTCTGGATCCTATCCTCAATGCAAACTCTGTTTTATATTTCTGGTAAAGTAGGTGCAGATATTCTCAGTAACTTTTGGTAAATTAAATTGACTTCATTTATATTTGCCTGTATGCAGTAACTAAATCTAGGCACAGTCCTGCTTTGGGTTTCAAATTTGTCTTGTATGAAAATTTCATACACATATGAAATTTTGCCATGTGAAACACACAACGCAAGCAGTTTTAGAAAGCATGAATTTAATATCATATCGATTCCTTCCTGAGGGTGTCTTCACATGCTTTTCAACTAGTTCTTGAATTTGGGATATGAAAAGCTTGGACTTGTGCTTTCCCTTTAGAGTCTAAATGGTGATTTGTGACTAATAACATAAACGAACTGACCATTATCCCCCCCTTCAAATTTTTAACCTCAGGCCAGTCCTATGCAGTTTGAAAACAACATTGTCTGTGTTTTGATGTTTTGAAAGTATTTTTTTTTCACACAGAATTGCTCAAAGTGTGGATCAGTTTTTCACAAGTTTTGGGGAACCAACCTAGTGAAGGGAAGGTTAGTACTTTTTCAGAATGCTTACAAACTTGCAATTGCTCCCTATGGAGAACTCCTACCAACACGTACAGTTCTATAGAGATTCTTTATTACAAGTACATTTTGTTATACTGAGCAGTTTTATTGAAAAATAAATGATATATTTATGCTCTATCAAATGACAGGGTTTTTTTATTCTCTTCTTTGAATTGAAAGGTCCCATTGCCGCACATGTTGTGCAGCAGTATGTGTTACTTGTCATGTGGTAGCCAACAATGGTATAAAGGTAACTTTTGTTGAAAATTATTCCTTGGTTTATTTTATAGAATTGTTTTCACACTAGTTTACAATCTGCTGCCTGAACAGGAAAAAAAAAATTTGTTCCCTGCAGAAATTTCTGATTAGTTATTGGAATGAAAAAATCCGCCTTAAAAAGAAATCACTCAATTTAGATGCACAAAATGAATTTTTAATGCACAGTTGGCATGCTACATGGTACTTAATTACTTAAATCATAGACCAATTATTGCTTATGGTATGCAAAATTGATAGTTTCAAAAGGGTGCATTTATTGGCAGTTACTTCACCAAGCAGATAATAACACATTGCATGGTCTTACTGAGGTTTCATGGACTTGTTGTAGGTGTGTACAAGATGTCTTATCAAACAAAAAGAGGATGAGATGAATACACAGAAAGCACTCTCAGCTATTGAGGAAGCCAGAACAGGGAGAGGTGTGGTTAAAGATTATCATTTACTTATACATTGTAGTTTCTTTAAACTGTACTTGTCTTAATGATGCACATTTTTGAATTGCAATTGATACCCCAAAGTTTCTGGAGAGTTTGCTGTAAAATCAATGCATAGGCACTTTTTGTAGCCACTTGCCTTGATCTTGATCTTGCATCTTTACATTGTCTGAGTGTGTGAGTCTCATTCAATGGTATATTTGTAGTTCCCTTAGATAACATTGCTAATAAATAAAATTAATCGTAATAACATGATTTATTTTTCCATAGTTGACTCAGTGTCTTCAGTGAGATCAGACTCATTTGTGGTTGTGTCATCGTTGTCTCGTCTGTCTCCTGAGAAGAAGAAAGAGGCTCTTTTTGAGGCTGCCAAGACAGGTACAGTAAAGAATGAGTCTTTTTAACAAAACCAGTTTTTAGCCCAGTGCACTGATAAAAATTATGCTATTCCATATATATTGCACAAATGTGTTGCCATAAGATTGCAGTTAGATGAGGTTGAATGAAAGGAAGAGATCTTCTGTTTAACAAAACAGAATTCTGTTAGAACAACACGGTTGGTAAAATTCTTCATTTCCAAACTTTGTGTCACCTACCTCTCTTAACGACCTACTCAGATTATTAATCTTATCTCAAACTAACAATCTTAACAATGCTCAAGAATTTTCACAAAATGATTCAAAGCTGAAATCCAGATCACATGTTTATTTTGATGTGTTTATTTATATATTTTTTGTTGTATTAAATATTTAATGTGATAGTACGCATAATGTTTTCTTTAACTAGGAGACCACTACTCCATGGTGACTCTTCTGAATGACAATGTTGATGTGAATATAAGAGGTATTACTTTAATTTTAATTTCATTTATTTGTTTAACAAGGGTAATTGTACATTTATTATATATTGAATACAGTAGGAGCATAATTATATTTGATTGGTAAATTGATTGCAGTCTCACTTTTCACTGTTCACTTGTAGATGTGGACAAAAATACCCCACTATTTTTTGCAGCTGAAGGTGGACATCTTCCTTGTGTGGCTCTGTTAATGGTAAATATTAATGTCAACTGCTTAACAGCGTATGATACCTGATAGATATGTTGCCATTGAAATTTATGCTCAAATAAGTAATTTTTTGCACTGGGTTGATTCTCAATTACCCCTTTGTTATATGACCCATATTAATTTGACAATCATCTTAAATAGGAAATTTTAACCATCAAAGACTTTGCATGTAACAATTACTGAATAAAATTAAGCTTGGTAGTAAGAACTATTAAGGCAAAGGTTCACATTGAGTACTAAAGCTAATGGATGCCCAAATTGCAAGACCCTGAATTTTTCTGGAAGAGTTAACCCTCAAAAGACTACCCCCTTCCCGCTTCAGTGAGATAAAAAGGTTAGCCACCCCTCCCCCCAAATTACAACAGGACAACAGCTACATGTGTATTTATGCTCCATCTTGGATTGTTGTGTTTTAGTTTCTTTGATGTCCTTCCTCACTCTTTGTATTTTGCATCATATCTTTATAGGAAAGGAATGCAGATGTGAAAGCCACAAACAGTGTAAGTTCACAATTTTCCTGTTATCTTGATCAAGATGATTATTGATTTTTGGCATTAAGATTATTTATTGTTATAGAAGATATAACCACATTATAATCAAGTGAAAGATTTTGGTGATAGTCTGCAGCATAATCCATTGATTGTCATATTTAGTTATTTATTGATACATGTACAGTTTTTCCTATTACCGGTAATTAAAAAGTAGATTTAATATTGATTTAAAATAACTGTTTATTTCTACATCTCTTTCCAGAAATCATGGACCCCTCTTCATGCTTTAGCATGGTAGGTGACTTTGGCTCAGACAATTTTTTTTTCTGCAGAGAGAGTTAAAAAATAGGAGGCCTGGAAATACTTGTTTTCACTGATTTCTGATGATCTGGAAATTATTTCAATCTGGTTGGCTTTAAGTATTTTGACTAAAGGAATACATGTAGCAGGCCTGAAAAGTAAGAAATACTTAATAGTGTGAGGGAAAGTATGGTACACTGCAGAATTGTTGTCAATTAAACTTTTGTTTTACATTTTTGGTTGGTTTTATTCCTCATCTAGGAAAGGTTCAAGTGATGGCCATGTTGAGTGTGGTGAGCTTCTTATTCAGGTACTGCCAATTTTAATTTGTCAGTCTGTAACAGTAAATGAAGGAACAAGTTTGTCTGTCTGTCTGTCTTTCATCCAGTCAGTCAGTTAGTCTGTCAATCATTGACAAATTGACAATAAATATTCGAAGTCAATGTTTAACAAGTTGAATTTTATCTACCTGTAGATGGGTGCTGTCATATTTGCCTTGACAGATACAGTGGAGACAGCTGCAGACCTTGCAGCTCGCTCAGGGGGCAAACAGGAGTTAGTGCAGCTGTTAAGAGCTGTAGAAGGTAAGGGACAGTCTACAATCAGGTATTACATACTGTAGATGGGTACAGATACTACGTCTATAGGTGCATAAGGATGAGCAATTTACCGTTCAACTGGTTATCACTCGATTGAGCAAACGAAAAATCACTTCCCCACCCTTACTCCTCTCCTTATTTTTGACCGTCGCTCAACCCCTTGGCACAAATTTCTTTCTCTCCCCAGCCTTCCGCTGCCATTTACATCAAAGATGGCGGCCATAAGTTTCTCTAAGAAAGTACTGAGCACTCGCTCGCCAAAATTACGCCTACCCTGCAGGCTAATGAAAGTGGTATCAAGTTTACCTCGGTAGATCCTAAATCCACATCAACTTACACTAACTTATTTTTCTGTTACAGTCGTACGTATGTTTTAAAAATTGCTCAGTTCATGAAGCAGAAAATGCATACCCTTCTAGTGGATGTCTTAAAGTTAGAAAATATCAGAAAAGTTGCCCGTTTAGATCGTATGCAACCTTTTTTTGTTTTCTCAAGTTATATTATATTATTTCAGTGGATGTTGCGGTACAGAAATTACATGAAAAGTTGCAAACTCCATCAAGTACGTTCTCTCAAATGTAATTATTACAAAGTAGTACAGAAACCGAGGCTCTGTCAAGTACATAATTGTGAGTCAGTTTGCCTTTCCTGTTACATGAATACCTTTTACTAACTGAGTTCGAGATCCGTACTGTAAGTTGCAGATCTTTTTTTTTCCGCTCCGATTAATAGCTTCGCGCGGGCCATGAATCCGAATAGGAAAAACGAGGTTCTATAACTTACCGTACGGACCGAGAAAAGGAGGCCAGTAAGTGTACCAACCGAGAGATTTAATGAAATCAAAGAGACATGTGGGAGCAGGGTTGCAACACATTGATAAAACAGACGGCAATACCATTCGGCAATTTAGGTCGCTTGAATCGTGTTCTTGCCTTTACATGCTTTCTCATTGGAATACCTGTAAGTTTGACAACGTCCACATGTAGTGAATTTTTTCTTATTCTCTTTTCGGGCCTTTGTGCAGGTTTTTCAACCAAGGATCAAATGTTGAAGATTTACGTTGCAACCGTTTTGAGACACATTAAAGGAAACATACCTCTGGACCGTACAAAAAAAGAATGGAAAGGTCAGTTCCGGGTGTAGACAAATTATTATTAGCCAAACTCGAGATCTCTATGGGCGATCCCTTGGTTACATTTTCTACTTCTCTCGCATCGAAATATAATAGCGACTCTGTCTGGAATTACCTGTTTCCAAAAGCTTGTTGTTTGACTTATTAGATACTTTTTCACCTCCCCCACTTCCCCCCCCTCCCCCGCCCACCCCTTTCCATTTGGCGGTATTTATTTGAGGTCATCATATTCTTCATATTATCAAAATGTGTTTGTTATCGTGGTTATAAAGCTAAATGAACATGTTGATGGTTTGATTCACAGGTAATGACGCGAAAAGTTCACGATTTCTAAAGACGCCCGAACTCATGAGAAGGGAAGACTTCACAAAATCCCTGGACAGGGTGAGTCACAACATTCGAGTCACGATTTTGTTTTACCACTTTTCTCTTACTTTGTTTAGTTTTTTAAATTTGTGCAGATTAGTTGAGGCTAAGCTATATTTTTGTCAATTTCCCATTCAATAGGGGCTTCGTAAACACAATTCTTGTGAAGAATTGCGTCCTGAGACCAACGGTAAGTTACTAAATTCATACTGATAGCTATACTTGCAGAAATACTGGAAAAACATTTGTAAGACAAAAAGTTGCCGGCGATAGGTTTTTCCGGAATACCGAGATGACCACAAGAGAAGTAAATGAGAAATTAGACCGCCACTTTGTTCGCTGATTTTTAGTTCAACCCTTCTTAATTAAACGTGCTCTTGCTTTTTTTATTGTCCAGGGACCTGGAGTTTTGGTACCAGTTCTCCGTCGTATAACATTCCAAGAGCTGACGTTGAGCCAATCATTAGATCGGATTTGTTGCCTTCTGTGACGGCCAACCCTTCAAAGCTTGAGGTTAGAATACAACTCAAAGAGAAGATATAGAGGTCGATTAAAGTTGATAAAATATGATGAATAGGTGTTTCAAGTGTTATACTTTTTACCCCTCAGCAAGACTTGTAGCTTCAGTCGGTGAAGTTTTGCACAATATGTTTATAAAGGGCTGTATCCTCTTAACAATTCACCTTTGATTTAAGCCCTTGAGAGCGCACCTTGTAAACGCTCCTTTCTGTTTTCGTTTCTTTATAGGAAAGGTTGATGAAATGTCAGGCTGAGAAGGACGACGCAGAACAGCGCTGTAAGAGGCTGATGCAGTCAATAGCAAGTGCTGCTGAGGTATGAAGCTCAAATATGAAGTGTTAGGTATTTATCCAGCAATAAATATTGAAATAGTTACGTAATGTAGCGGGCTTCAAGCTTGCGAAAAGTGTAGGTGTTGAAATGCTTGGGAAAGCACTTGATCGTTGTTAAATAGGGAATGTGGGCAGTCCTTTTTAAGCGCGGGAAAATACTCCAAAACGAAGTTAAAATTATATCGTCTCTTTATCTGCTATTGGGTAGTTAGGTGGCTTGCATGTTCTGATTGGTTAAAGCAGGTTGCAGCTGTTGCCGATAAGTAGGTTTCTTCCGATAAATTAAAGATTAGCTTTCTTAACCTAATTGAGCATGAGGTAATCAACAAAGGCAACGAATTAACATGAACATCTGGAACGCCTGGAACAGGCTAGCCTTTTTGCCTACCAATAATTGTTATTAACATGACATGTTTCAGGCCCACGAAAAAGAGGTCACAAGGTTACAGCAAGAGATAGATATTGCACGAGAACAAAAGGAGATCGCCTTAAAACGGGTAAGGAACTCTCACGTTACACAACTGGCAATAAACTGTGCGTTTGTCAGCAAATGATGTGACGGAATTTGCTTTGTTTACCTTTTCCATCTGAATGATAACCCTCGTTTTCTCTGATCCTTCTCTTCTTGCTCTCAATCTACCATTGTTTTCTTTTCGACTGACGACCATTTTCAAGACCTCAACAACAAATCACATCACCCTCACTTATATCCATTAGGCCTTGACTGGAACTTAACTTTTACTTGGAGCCTTTTATTTCAACAGTACGAAGCTACCTATGTCAACAAAATGGCTAAAATCCGACAAGAAACGGAATCGGCTCTTCAAGAGGTTAGTTGCTGCGCACGAAATGTTAACCTGTATTACGCACTAGGTACATTTTTGACACAGTGCTTATTCTGTAACGCTGCATGTGTTAAGTGGAACACCTGCTAATTGTTTCCTTTCGTTTGGCGAGTAGCCCTCAGTATATCTTTGTTCGTCGAAGCTTTGTCGTGTGGTAAAATCTACACTAGGTGTATAAGTGACGCATTTTTATTATGAATTTCTCAATATCAAACGATTATGCAAAAACTCATCAGGCCCCCAAATTAGCGGTGTCCAACCTGACTCTTTTAAATTGATTGATTAATTAAATTAATTGATTTATCTTTGTATATTCAAGGCCAGCGCGCGGCTTAAACAAGCGGAGAAGGACCGGGCCGAGGTGCTTCACATGCAAAACAATTTCAGGCTAACGTGGGTCCCGGATGAGGTGAGGATGGGATTTTTAAAACCAGTAAAAGTTCTTCTGTGATTGAGATTCATCTTGAAAAGCTTTTTCTTCTCTTCTTTTTTTTTCCTGCAGCTTGTTAATTACTGTTCAAACAGCAAGTGTCGAGCCCCCTTCACACAGGTGAGTTAAATGTGATACATCTGTACCTCTATTTGAGCAGCTCATTCTCGTTCCCAGATTACCTGGTGATCAGAAGAACCAAGGTCCCCGGGGACGAGAATTGTAGCAGCTCAGTTTCGTGCGCATGCGTAAAGCAGTTACCTTTGGTACCGTCATCCTTTGTATACACTCGTGATCAAATACAAAGGTTAAAGATTTGGAGCATATTTCTTCAGCCTGGAACAAAGTTTGCGTCTTTTGACTTGGGGGTGTCCGTAAAGAGAAGTGTCTTTTTTTTTGTTTGAGCTGAAAGTACTTGTGACGTTTTTCTTAAGGATTGTTATTAGAATTAAAAAAAATGTATATTATAATTCAAAGAATTTAGTTATAACAATCAAGTGCAAGCATTACAATATGAATGTTTATTATTATTTTTTCAATATAACTTAATTTGTCATTTAGGTTGGAGAGGGAAGCCAATAGATAGAGTGGACTCTCAAAACAAAATGAATGAAGTAAATTAGCCTGAATGTACATGTAACTTTGGTCTTATTCCCATAGACAAGGAGACGTCATCATTGTCGATGCTGTGGTCGAGTATTCTGTTACAACTGCACAGATCAATCAACACCGTGAGTTTAATATTGCTTTCATCTACTTTAAAAGGAAAATCGCATACAGTAACACAGCCTGCTTCCTTTCCCCTCCCCACCGGACCTTGGCGGATTTCTTAGCTGTACCTCGTCTTCTAACATTTTTCCTGGTTTGTATGAAACAAAGAAACAAATTAACTACAGTAACAAAAAACGAAAAAAAAAACGGCCCACACTATGAAGGCTTAGTTCGAGACAGTAGTTGTGTCAGCTCAGTTAGCTAATCAAATAGCAAGATTATGTTACGATAGCGTATACTTACGCTCTGTTCTTGTTGGCAATCATGGACCTGTTTGATTTTCAAGTTTTTTTTTTCTCTGCTATTTTTCAGAATTCCAGCCTTTGGATACGTACAACTTGTCCGAGTGTGTAATCCTTGCTTTGCTTTGATAGACGATATGTTCTGTGAGGAACCCGTTGTTTTAACCGACACATGACAGATGTTGCTAGCGGAAAAGTGGTGTCTTGTCTGGCCATTACCACGAAGTTCGCTTCAAAGACTTCCCACCGTGACAGAAGTGATTAACACTGTCACGGCCTCTTACCGCGACCATACGAAACGTTGCCCAGTTGTGTGACCTTACCGAGTGAAACATTAACCCTCTACACCCTGACATCAGCATGGATATTCTCCATGTTGTTCTCTATACATTTCCTAAGGTGCTAACAAGGAGAATCTGGTTAACAATCAAGAGTTTCTTTAGTTCGGGATCATTTCCTTATTCTCCCTACCTTATTGTTTGATTCAGGGGTGATATGGTATGGGGAAATTAAATACTAATCACTCTTAGGAGCTTAAGGGTTAACAACGTCTGTTATGTTACCCAGTACAGACCCTCAAAAGATATTTGCGTTGTATTATAAATCAGAGTTCTTACTTTGCAATAAGAATGGGTTGAACCAAAGAACAGATTTAATATATGCTACTTTAAGATGGAGCTATTATCAAATTCGCTGATCCAATTGTAAATAGGGTACGAGATGCACAAGCGTGCACCTCCCGAGGAAACTATGACAAAATGCGTGGATTGGGTTTGTTCATATATCGATGTTTTAAATCCCTCATTGCGAAATTTACTTGGTGATTGAATTAATTATAGTTAAATTTTTGGAATTCCTGATTTGAGTGGTTCTCAGCCATCCCATTACAACATATCGCATTATTAAAGTATTTTTTAGGGGGGGGGGGGGAAAGTTTTCAACGTTTCAAATCTCCATGGTTTCCTTTCTACAACAGCCGTCCGTGTTGCTCTAGGCTAGTCTCCTGCTGTTTCACATTCGCAGAGTGGATCGGCTTAAACCGGCTTTCCCCAAAGTATTTTGAATATTACGTCGAGAGTTCTCAGTACCTATTTGGTGTCAAGTTTGATCTGAGTTTCCCGTTAACTTTTAATCAAGTGATGTTCGTTTTGACCCTCGTCCTGTTATCAACGGCAGAAGAACTGAATTCGTGTGGACCGCACGAAAGTGTCAAAGTTATACCCCATCGTTGATGAGTTAAGACTCCTGCAAGTTGCACCGAGCACACAATGTCAATCTTCATGGGAAAACAAACAAACGAGCAAACAAACAAACTCGAGTTCACTGAAAGAGGAAAATAAGAAAGAGAAAAATAGGTGGTCGTCGAATGAAATGCTCAACGAATGAGATGAGACGAGATATTTGCCTCTCGGTCATGACTCACTGACCCAGGCAGATCAGCTTAATCCATACTTCATGACCCGAGGCTAAGTTCTCCCTAGTCCTGCCCCTCCCACTCGGTCAGTAAATTCTTAAAATTTAAAGGACTTCTTTACGATTGTATGTTGTTAACAAAGTCCTCATTTAACACACTGGTTTATTCGCGTATTATCTTTTTCTGTTGAAGGACAAAGCCACATTTCAGGCTAAAGCCAAGACCGTTTCTCGACACAGTGTCTACAAATTAACTTAAAGTTCGATAAGACACCTCTCCCTGGATTCAAATAAGTCCAGCAACTCCGCTATTTATCTTGTACATCGCTAAGCCTCCACTCTCAAATAAAATGTGCACTGAAAACCGAAAACGGGGAGAAATAATTGCGGTAATAGCGTGAGCGATTTTGCTTAACATAATGGTTCATTTCCGCACGGTTCATTCTTTGCGTGACCTACTTCGGTGACGTCATGAACGGACTTTTTCACGGCCTAGGACTGGTTAAAACTGGACTGAAACAAGAATACGGCAGGCGTGACGATAAAATAGAGGAAACAGAGAAATCATAGACGGTCATCGCTTGATTAGATCGCTGACTTTGGATAATTCTTCATTCATAATGTTTTTCTTAAGCTAGTCTTCATCCCAGTTAGGGTTATCTTTTGGTTTTGGTCCTCCAGCTGGTTTAGACATGATTATCTGGAATAAAATCAGAAAAAAAAGGACTTAAAGTTTATTAAATAACTAACGAGATAATAAATATACTCTCTACGAAGCCTACTACAGGTAACCAAGCTTTACTGCTCTTTGAACACAAAAAGATTTGGGACAGTATCATAATGCGTATGCAGAATGCCTTGATACCTGGTCAACTCTCAGCACCGTTACGGCTGCATCTGTAGCAAACTTAAGCGCCCAGTACTTCACAAGATACAAGTCGAGGATTCCCGCTTTCACAGCATCTTTAATTGCCGCGCCTCCACTCTGAAAACAAAATAATGACAATAACAACTCATAAACGACAAAGAGACAACACATAACACTTAAAGCATTGTGTCTCCCCATTTGACATTTTGCATGCCAAATCAACTCTGATACCAGGCCCTACCTCGTTATCAAATCCCGCGTTCTTATCCCCAGCCTGATGGGCTGCGTACAGTTTGGAAATCACCTCCGTGGCTTTAACGCCGGCATTTTCGGCGAGGGTCCTGGGAATGACCTCCAGGGAGTCGGCAAAGCTCTTAATGGCATATTGTTCTAGGCCTGCACAGGTCTGTGTGAAAAGATTTAAATGCAATTAGCCAAAGAAGCCAAGAATTCTCTCCATATGGATACTTCTTCAAACAACCTACGAGGACTGTTTTTCTTCCCTACTGATCTTACGATAGATAAGCAGACAGACAGACAGACAGACAGACACACGGAGGGACGGACAGATAGATCATCAGAGAGACCGACAGTTACACAGATAGAAAGACCTCAGAGAGACAAATTGGCAGACAGACAGGTACGCAGACAGATAGAAGACGAACAGAAAGACACGAAAAACAGACCGAAAAACAGACAGAAAAACAGACAGAAAGACAAGCAGACAGATAACGGATAGATATATAGACAGACAAACGGACAGACAGATCGACAGATAGGAAAACAAAGTTCATCAAAAGAAAACGAGTAAAAGAAAAAACCAAACAATCAAACAAACAGCACCCCAGAAACAAACATAATAAATCAAGGTTTTTCCAATATGTGTCTGAGAATGATGCATATACTTGAAAGGAATTTCCCCCTTGTTCTCAACATACCTCTCCAAAGCTAGATATCTGTTTTGCGAGTTCTATTTCAGTAGCACCAGCACCAGGTACAAAGCGATCATCCCGTGTCAGTGCTTTGAAAGTGTTCACACCATCGTCAATAGCCCGCTCAATGTCATCCATGATGTTCTCAGTTGAACCGCGAATAACTACAGTAGACACGGCCGTCTCCTCGCGCTCTAAAAGCAGAGAAAAAAAATCAAGAAAAAAATATCAAAGAGATTGTATCGTGGAAATTCTGCTGATTGCAACTGTGAGACTTTTGAGGAAAGTGAACCGAAAACTGTTGGACAGGTATTTAAAAGCTCTAGATAACTTTTCAGTCAGAAAATGACGTCCAGTCACAACATTTTACCTTGTTTGAAGATTGTAACAGAGGTACCACCAATCTCTGCCACCTTGATTTCGTCGCAGTAACCTATCTCCTCTGACGTTGGGGTAGTCTGGTGGAAAAGAGAGTACAAACTTAAATAAACAAGGTTAAAACTATAGATTCCAATCCTTCCCATTCGATTACCGACTGAACTAAAATTTTTTCTCTGGTAAAAGTGAAGAACAGTTTCCTTGAGAAGACTGTCGATAGGTTTTTACCAAAGACATATTATCAGTTATTACTTTAGAACTGCACTCAAGTTGTTCGAGGTGAAGCACATGCTGAATGACATACTAAAGTGATACTGTTCAATGCTCACCTGACATACACTTAAATTAAAGATTACCCCACGTTTAAATGTTCAAACAAACAAAGACATCCTCCATTAATCCAGGTGTTCAATAAAGCAATATATCAATAGTCAAATTGCAGAAATCGGATACTCACAAACTTCGGAAGTATTGTTGCACCAACAGACCGACAAAGTCTCCTCAAGTCAAACTTTGAAGTTAACCTGGGAGAAAGCAGTATGATATCACAGGATTTCTAGTCATCTAGAGTTTAACATACAGGAATCTTGGACGAGGAAATTTCAATTCAAAAACAACTTTAACAAGAAAATGTTATGGAAAAGGTAAACTAACCTAACTACTAAAATATTAAACTTGTTACAAAAGTGAAGGGCCATCTCAGCCACTTTTCCTCCAGATACAATGCAGTTAACACCAGTATCAACAATGGCCTTGATTTGCTGAAATCAAAGAGAACATTTTCTAGGACAAAAGCAAGGAACACAGCAGACTGCTTAAACACTAAATTGCTAGTATGTTTGTAGTTCCTGGTTGCTTGCTCTTAACATAAAATAACTTAACCCTTTGACCCACAAGAGTGACCAGTATCTAATTTCTCCTAACAATATCAGCCCTGAATCACACATTTCAGTCACAAGAAAAAAGGAAACGGTCACCAACTAAAGAACCTCTTGATTGATGAATAAATTCTCCTTACCAGCAGCTTAGGAAATGTATGGAGAACAGTATGGGGAATATGCATACTGATGTTAGGGTGTGAAGGGTTAAATAGCATCAGGTTTGGAGTAAAGGTCCAAAAGTGTCAGGTGAAGAGTCCCCCAATTGTCTTTCCAAATAGAAAAGCAAATTCCTCCCAGGTTTGCCTCAAGAGGTTCAGAACAAACTCAAGATAGAGAGATGCATGTTGATTAAAGGAAGCTAGCTGACCTTTTCAAGTTGTTCTTCCTCTCCTTTGCTGAAGTTCTTTAGTTCTTCTGCATTTCTGATGAGGACTGTACCCTGAAACACATTCATACAATTAATGATGTACAACTAAATATAAAGTACTGTAACATCATTAAAAATAAAAAAAGCATATTTTCATAAAAATTATCATATATGCTGATGCAAGGCCATCCTGTGCTTAGGAATTTAGTAAAAACAATGTTAGACACGGACATTTGGGTTTAATTCAAGTTTTTACCTCTGTCTTTATCCACTCAAGTTTACATTTTAATTTTCAAACCACTCCATCTTCCCTCTTCCCACTATAATTTACATGTGAGTCAAATCACTGGGCACTCAACCAACCTTTGTTTCTGTTGTCATGGCATCCAATGGACAAGAAAAGGCTACAATTTTAGCATTCTGAAGTGAGTTAATATCACCCTCGACCTCACGTTTGAACACCATTCCTTGAACAACTTCTGAACTATGAAGACCTGAACCCTGTAACAGACAAAATATGACAAGAAAAAGGTTTGTTGTGTGCTGATGCTATTGGGAACCTGATTATATTTCTGAAACTTGCAAAATACAATGAAAATATATTGATTGCAAGGTTTGCTTTAAACAATTTTCTTTCTAATATACATGTACAGGAACAAGTAACTCCAAAAATTAATTGTCAAACAATTATTTAAATTTGTCAGGATCATAGAGCATCCATAAGACTTATGAATCTTACCAAAATTTTTGCCACTCTCACATTATCCACATTAAAAGGCGTTTTCTCTGGAAATACAGAGACTAGAAGGAAGAAAAGAAGAAAATCAGGAATAAACAT